CCCAAGCCCAAGCCCAAGCCCAAGCACAAGCACAAGCACAAGCACAAGCACAAGCACAAGCACAAGCACAAGCACAAGCACAAGCACAAGCACAAGCACAAGCACAAGCACAAGCACAAGCACAAGCACGAGCACACACACACACAAAAACAAACAAACAAACAAGCAAGCAAACAAACAAACAAACAAACAAACAAACAAACACACACACACACACACAGGCACACACACACACACAGCACACACAGCACACACAGCACACACAGCACACACAGCACACACAGCACGCACCAGCACACACAGCACGCACCCACCCACACACCCACCCCCACCCCCACCCACACACACACACACACACACACACACAAGCAAGAGTGCGACGTGCGAGTCAGTGCGAGTCAGTGCGACAGTCTCCAGCCACTGTCCTCGAGGGTCTCAGAGCGGAGCCGTGCGTTCTCGGCTCGTAGCGACAGGAGCTCGGCCCGTGCCGCTTGGGCTCCGCTGGTGTCCGCCTGGGCGGTGACCGGCGCCGCGCGGACCGCGGGAGCCGCCGAGGTTCTGGCCTGCAGGCCAACCAAAACCAGACGGTGCAAGCGCGACGCGAAGCCCGAAAAGGCGCCTCCTCCTGGAGTTCCTTGGACTTGGACCTCGAGCGGACGATCACCGGCCGGTGCGCTGAGATGGGCCTGCAGCATCGAGGCGCGAGGATTCTTATGCAGAGCGCAGCTCCCAGCGCACGCTCGGCACGCCTCTTCCGCGCTTCCGAGGCCTCCGGCCTCGGGAACCCCAGCGCTGGGCACGCTCTTTCTCCGTCTCATCAGACAGGGCCCCCGGGCTGCCCGGGCTGTGCGACGGGGCTGGGCTCCCTGGTAGCGGTTTCCAAGACCTCGAAACTCCAACTCAGAGGCTCTCCGCGAGCCGCCTCTCTGGGCCTTGGCAGACCGCGTCGGCGAGGCTCCCAGCACCTCGAGTGGGGCGGAGCAGAGAGCCTGCCCCGGCCTCCGCTGCACTGCCCACCTGGCCGACTCGCACCTGCCATCAAGACGCACAAGACACAAGTTGGAGACACTGCTCAGCGGCTCAGCGGCCACGGATGGCCACGGCCTCGTTCCCGCGCTCGCCGCTGCTGCTCGCGCTGAGCACGCGCCCTGCCTCGCGGCTGCAAAAAAGAGAGGCCCCCTCCTCCCACATCACCTCCTCTCCTCTCTGCCTCTCTAGAGTAGAGAGGTCCCGCCCGGAGGCCGGGCCCCCCCCCCGGCCTTGGCTTTCGGCGGCGACGCCTCGGCCTGCTGAGCCCAGGCCTCCGCAAGGCAGGGCCCAAGGCATTAAATCTGTGGTCGGGGCAGAATGGTTAAGACACCCAAAACGATGACCGCAGCATATTTAGCCCCCCCTATATAGCCCTCCAACGACGACAGTTCTGGCATCTAACATCTGGATCTTGGACCATCTTGGAGCACGGAAAGCCTCGGCTCTTCACACTACAACACTCTGACGCCCATGTCTGACAAGGCCTGCGTGTTCGGCTCGCTCTTCTTGACGACGCCGGTGACGCGGACCCGCGCGGGAGCAGGGCGGGCCTCCGCCATAGCGCCTCGGCCTCTGCCTACGCGAGAAGCTCTCAGCCCCTCTTTGAAACCGAAAACTCTCAGCTACGAGTACGGCCGTTCCCTGGCCTCCCTGGCTCCCACTCTCTTCAACCCATTGTGCCATGGTCTTGAGTCTTGAGCGGCGAGGAGCAGGAGTCTGTTGAGCTGAAATCGACAGAATCCACACCTGCCCTGAACCTGATGGAATGCTTCTTTTCTCTCTGCCGCCAGGTAGGCCACTGGGCGGGTCTCCTCAGAACATTCGTGATTTGAGTGGCGATCGACCCTCGAGGGTCTCTGCCGGCACTCAAGATGAGACTATTGGTAGCTGGTGTTGAGAGTTGGCGGCTAGGTCACCTGGCCGTTCGGCCACCCAAGGTGCCAGGTCTCGAATAGAAGGTGGTACATATATGGGATGCGTAGACTCGCGCGACAAGTACGAGAAAGGAGGATGCCCGGGACCATGTCGCTTGGGGGGTGCCCCACTTCCCCGCCTTCGTCACCACGTATTATGGCAGACGGGAGTGTAGAAAGATTGTGTGGGAACGTGTGAGAAACAGGGGGGACTACGTATAAAGTCTAAAGCGTCTAAAGCTCAAAGAGCAGGTCCCGCGCTCCGAGGAGCGGAGTCTCCCCCTGCAGTGCGGGGCGACACACAACCCCTGCCCTGCAGCCGGGCTCGGCTCCTGGCCTCCAGGAGATCCTCGCAGACGCGCTCCACGGACCTCGCAGACGCTTAGCCGGGGGCTTTCTGCTTTCCTCTGCAGTTTGACTGATTTGGCGGAGCTGCTGGAAGTCCACCACGGTGTAAGGCCACTCCTGGATCAGGCAGCATCTCCACCGCCGCTCTTTTGGCTTCCAGAATGCAGCCGACGCCTCCCCTGCAAACTACAGCCAAAGGTACTCTGTAAGCTATATACTAGATTATATATATTCGATACTCTTCACAACTAGACAGGACGATCAAGTGTCCACTGCACATCCTAGAGAGATGCGCATCAGCAAAGCGCACTGGTCTGCCGCATACCTCCACCTGGGACTCCGAGTCCTCCATCTCCGCCTGCCACGAAGGCGTCCAGTTCTACCTCTCCTGCTGCGCTCTGCTGCGCTCTGCTGCGCTCTGCGCCTCCGGCGGAAGGTGCCAGGTGTCACGGGACGTCACGAGAACATTCGCCTCAGGCGCTGCACACTGGGCACGGGGGCGGGGCCTCGGTCGACCTGGGACGCGGGCAGAAGCGCCGGCGCTGGCGGAAGCGGCGTGCTGCACCGCGCTCTGCTGTCGCTTCGAGGGCCTCAGGGACCTAAGCTCCTCCCGGCAGTGGGCGAAGGTGCACTCCTCCCCCAACCTCAGCGAGAAATTCTTCGATGCAGCAAAGGGCGTCTGAGAGATCGGATCAGCTCAGAGACACGGAGACAGACGGGCAAGGCTGACTGCAGCCCAGAGAGCGGACAGGCCCCGGTCTGAAACTTCTTGCAAATCCTGGGAAAAGGCGCTCGGCTGTCTGAGGCTTATATATAAGGGGTTGCTATAAGCTCTCTCTTCTCTCTTCGCTTTTCGCTCTCTGTTTTAAGGCCAGGAGCTTTGTCTTTGACAAGTCGGGGCTCTCGCGCAGCTGCGCCTGAGGCGACTCACGGAGGGACGCTCAGCTCTCTGCAGCGCCCTGGGCCTCGCCATGCGCAAAGGCACAGCTGGAGCCGCGCTTGCAGGCGCCGCGCACCCAAAACATGCAGAGCCTCGCCGAGCTCGAGGCGCATGGCACTTTACTCACTTTTCTGCTCTGAGCTCCCCGCTGCGTCCGTTTGAAGACCCGCTTAGGGCCGTTGGGGCCACTTGGCCCCTTCTCACCGGCACCTCTCGCGGGGTGCAGAAGGCTCATCAATTCGCCTCGGAGCTGCGAAGTGACTTTCTGCGCCCCATAAGGCACGACGCACCTTGCGATCAAAATCGCACCTCCGCTGGCTGCGGCCTTTCCGCGCCCTCGCGCTGAGGCCCGCTGTCCGGCGACGGCGGGCCCCACCGAAGTCTGCGGGCATTGTGGATCGCGACGAACTCCCGCCGTCCACCCGCAGGGAGGCAAATCGCGCAAGCAGAGAGAACTGACTAACTCCTCACTAGCTTCTCAGCTACTGTAGCTAGTGTAGCAAATTTTTCATGATGCCAGCTACAGCATTGCAACATCTTGCAGGCTGAACCGGCTGAACAGATCGTCTATCTAGTCTAATATGTGCGCCTCAGCTCTCGAATTGTGCGGGCCAACACGCAAGACCCGTCAGCAAGCTCAAGAGTGATGACAGACTTCCTTACGTCTTTGTATGCCAGACCCTCGCCGACTTTCTTTCAGCGTCTAGTTCGAGTCTCAGACTTTCAGTGCTCGGCCTCCATCAGGAGGCAGACAAAGTGCTCTGCAAGGTCACTTCGTGACAGCTAAGAGACTCCCATGGTGGCGAAACTTCGGCTACCCTGCAGCAGATTTCACCTCATGCCGCTGGCAGCACCGACACAGCCTACGTCAGGCACCAAAGGAGGCAGAGAGAACGAACCCATCTACCCCCCCACTTGTTCGAGTCAACTCTATAGGTTGCTTCCGGAGATAGTCGGCATAATAGTCGGCATGATCGTGGCTTTCTTTGATTTGTGTGCAGACAGTCGCTGTTTAATTTGACATAAGCATACGTCTGGTGCCGAATCTCGTCCCGAGATTATAGCAAGTTATGTGTTGGAAAAGACGAAGATGCTCAAAATGCTGAAAAGGTGTGGCAACTTTGTCGATGTTTTAATAAGACAATGTTCAAAGTATTCCAGAAATTTGGAGAAATATGTCCGCCGCCTAGCCATAGATGCCACGGTTCTTGAGCTTTAAGACTTTCTGAGCATTGCGGTGTTTCGGGAGTTTCAGGGTTACAAAGTGGAATTCTGGAACTTTGAACATTACAGTGTTTCGTGTCTGAACCTCACACAACACTATATTGCTCAAAAGCGTTCGCAAGATCAATATTCGCTCTCAGCCTAGCCATATAGATGCCAGACTTTGGGAATTGATGGAATTTTTCACATTACAGTGTTTCGTGAGTCTCAAGGTAGGAAATTTGGCTTGCTTTGAGCATTGGAGTGTTTGGTGCACCCACGCCCTCATGAACCACCTCTGTGCCAGATCTTGGGTGAAGCGGCGATCATATACAACAAACAAACAGATAATCTATAATTACGTAAATAAACAAGTAGCGAAGTATCTTAGTAGAAACGGATAGATTTTATGTTCTTCTGGATTCTGAATGCAATACATCGAACGCAACGGTAAAACGCAGTGACACTGGGTGCTTGAAGAGGCCGGTGGGCCTGCTGTAGATTCTTGAGCGTTTCCTCGAAGGTCACCTGGGCGTCTCAAAAGCGATGCAGACTGCCACATGCTGCCTCGGACAAAATGATCCCCGTCCGGCTCGGGTCCAGTGGCGGGGACGGGTGTGTCGTTGATGTGCGTGACGCACCAGCCGATCTTCACCTACACGCATGGGCTGCGGGCGGTTGCGCTGCGGTGCTGCCACAGCCGCACCTCTTTCTGTTCGCCCTGCATTCCCGGCTTCAAGCGCTTGCACGTGAGGGGCAGACTTCGGCTGAAGTCGATCCCCAGAGGCCTTAACAAACACACAACAAAATAAAGCCTAGGGCCTAGCAGCCGCTCTCTCCTTGCGTTCCGCGTCGCTTGTTCGCGAACTCGATGTCCTGCGTTCCACCATCTGGCAGCACGAATCGCAGCACCTCAAAGTGACTTATGGTCCTTGCTTCAACGGCGGGTACACGATCGAAAACTCCCGTGTTCTCCAACCTCCCAAGCTCCACAATTCCAATAGCTCCAGGGGGCAGGTCTCCCGCATCACTCGACGTCAAATCTCAACAAGCGGGTGCCCCTGCTATACCTCGTGACTCCTGTGAGAAACGACTTGGCAGTCCCACTTGTCTGGCACCAGCTTAACACAGATCAACGAGAATCTCGCTCTCGCTCGCTCTCGCTCGCTCTCTTTCTCGCTCATCTGGGGCGTGGCACCACCCTCTTGGGCTCGTCCGCCGCCTTCGGCTCGGGCTCGGACTTCGGCTCCTGCACAGGACAAAGTGCCACAAAAGTGGGCACACAAAGATAGACTTTAAAGAAAGAAGACTTACTTACTTAGTCTCTTCTTCAGGAGAAGCGTATACCGCCGCGTGCTCTCGCTCAGGCGGCCTCGGGGGTTGGCTCCGGCTCCAGCGGCGCGGCCACCGCCACCTCCGGCTTCTCCGTGGACTCAGCGGGGCAGCAGGGATGCAGGCAGCCGTGAGAAAAAACGAGAGTGTGTGTGCGCCCACCCAAAGGGCCCAGACGGCGCTGGAGGCACAGCAGGCCCCTGCGTTTCCCATAACCACCAAGGCGCGGTGGTCAAAAAACGCACCTCCCACTCACGAGGCTCACAGAGACGGCTGCGGCGCTGCGGCGGCCGGGCATTCCTCCTTATTAGCTATTTTTTCAGCCGTTTCATGGCAACTGTTCGCAGATAAGTCAGCTTAGTTGCCCAAAGATATATATCTCTTTCTCTTTCCTTCCTCTCCGCCGCTCCGCCTTTGGGAGTGCCGGGGTGTTCTCCGCCTTGGGCGGCTCCACCGCTCCGCTGACCGGCCGGTCTTCGGCGCACTCAGCGAAGCGCGGCTGTACAGTCCCCCATATATCTCCTTGCCTGCTGCGGATGAAAACGCTTGCATTCTGGCTATATACGGACACAGAGGGATGCCATGCTGCTGCGCTGCTGCCGCCAGCATCTCTCAGCGGCTCTCACCCCCCTTCACCGCTCGGCGTCGCGGAAGGCCGAGCTGCTGGCCGCTCCCCGGGCGCTGCGCGGCGCCGGCGGCTTCGGCTGAACTCAGAACACAACACACATCTCAGGCAGACTAGCCGCAGGGCTCCCTAGCCGCAAGACTAGCTCCGCTCTTCGCAAGCGCCGGGGGTCCGGACGGAGGGCAAAGGAGAGCGGGTCCCTGGTTGTGAACTTCGGAGGCGGCATGGGGACCAGCACGCGCGGCCTCAGCACCCAGGAAATCCCATGAACTCGCCGTGATAGCAAAAGTCTCAGGCCAAAGCAGCGTGGGCTGCGGCCTGGGAGACAGGGGTCGCTCTTCCGGCGAGTCCTGACATGCATGGGCCCGCTGGACAGCTGCGCACAGAAACCACTCCAACACCTGCGCCTGCGTTCGCCGCGAGCTGGGCAGGGAGGGCTTGCGAACCTGCGACAGGACACGGGCGGGCAAGGCCTCTCTTAGGCCAGGCGGCGCTAATGGGACCTTGGAGTGTCACGGAGTCTGAGGCCCGGGCAAACTCGGGCGTGTAGTGGTTCAAGCGAGGTTGCGTGTAGTACCTGAGCTGGGCTGGGCGGGCCGGCGCGGGGGTGCAGGGCGGGTCACGGGTCGAGGTCCAACGTCACGGCCGCCGGGACACCGCCTGCCGAGCTGAAAGCTGACAGAGAGCTGTCAGCCGAGCCGGCAGCTTCGCGCCTTCCACGATGGGGATGGAGGCCCTCGAGGCCGGAGGGACAGCGGGCACCGCCCCCATGGACTCAGCGCCCAGGCGCACCGAGAGCCTCGCGAGAGGGGGAGCTTCTTTCTGGCCGTTCTTCCTTTTTTTTTTCTTCTGAGGCTCCAACTCGGCCGTCAGCTTGCTGCCCTTCAGCCCTGCATCTAGAGGCCCATCCCAGACGCCGAGGTTGCCACAACCCCACACGGCACCTGTGGTGGCGAAGGCGGCGAAAAGCCGAGCGCTGTCGCCTCGGAGCGGAGGGAGCGCACAGAGAGCGGCAGAGAGCCCTCAGCGCTCGGTGCCCTCGCTGTCGCCAGCGACACCGAAACGTGACCAGCGCGCCTCGGGGGCCGGCCGGGGGTCCGTCAGTTCATTTTTGTCAGATCCACTTTATATATATATATATGGAAAAAACGTAGTCTGGTCTAGGAATCTAGGAATCGTCTGGATCACTTCTTCGCGCAAGATCGGCCGACAGAGGGTACACCAACAAACATCCGCACATCTGATTCATGGCGATTCTACATGGAAAAGATGGCTGCCTTCTATGATGTATACTTGCATGTTAGAATTGCTATAGAAGTATGCTGTACATGACGAAGCACGTGCTTTCCGGACGGGCAGCGAAGCCGGAGACTCTGGGAAAGAGCCTACTTCTTTGTCTGTGGCCGCATGAGCCATGCGAATTTGTAATCATTCACACTCCGCTTCGAAGATCAATGTTTCGGCTGGGCTTCTGGCACTGAGGCTCGCTGAGTAGGCGCTGAGAGGTCGGAGATTTGCGACGCAGCAACTCGTCGAGGTGGTGGACAGCGAGGAAAGGAGGCGCTCGCCCGGCTCGCCCGGCTCGGCGAAGACGCTCAACGTGTACCTCCGAAAAAAAAACACACCGAAAGCTACAGCCGGCTGTGGCGCCCGGGCACTCGATGGGCAGCCGGGCAAGGTTCGGGAGCTGAGCCTGGCATGTGGCCGCCAATGCGGCCTCAAGATGCCTCCATCCCAACGTGCTCCGCTGCCTGGGAGGCGGCGTCGGGCTGGAAGGGTGCCCAGCTCACTTCCGCCCGATCTCCCTGAGGCGAAAGAAGGCGCGGCATCCACGCGGCGGTTTGGGGCACGTCGCCTTCTCCAGAATTCGCAAGCCTCCGCCTGCAGTGGAACTAGGCGGACTCTCTAGCAGCTCCAGCAGGTGCACAGCGAGAGATGTGTGCCGGCCTTCGCAAGGTACAGGCGGAGACAGAGCGAAGCGGACCGGAGGAGAGGACTTGGACCTCAGCTCTGCAACGCTGCAGCACGCGCACAAAATTGGCCCACAGGCTGTGCACCTAAATGGACCTCTGCAAGAGATATACACAACTACAATTAACTTGTGCTCGCATTCACACTCTTTCTCGTGCTGAATGCCGACCCTGCGTAGAGTTAGAGGTGGCCGGCCCGGAATGTGTGTTGAGGCCATGAGCGTCGCGTTTGCTCTGAGAATGCACGATTCCGAGGCTGAAGTCATCTTCGGAAGGCCAAATTGCCAGTGGGCAGCTGGTGAGATAAGTTTGGCTCTTGCTGCTCGCGTCTGGTGTCCTGGTACAAGGCTAAGCAAAGGACCAAGGTCCCATGCGGCATTCGTCGCCGACGCGGACTTGGAACTCGTAGACGTTGCCGAGCTCCAGCCTCACACAGAGGCTCCGAGCGCAGCCCCTTTTTTTCGGGAGCTTTCGCGAGCCGATTTCCGGGTCCCGCGGCCCGTCTTCCTCGCGGACCACTTTCGGGCCCTGACCGGAGGAGCGCGCAGCGCGGGCAGAGGGGCCCAGAGCCCTGCTTTTTGGGCCCCAAAAAGGCCCGGGCCTCCCGAAAGGTCGCCTCGGCAGGCAGCTCCTCCAGCGGCGCAAGGACAAGGATTCATGCATTCACTCCCCCCTGCACCTGTGTACCGATCGAATGAATATCACCCACCGATCCGTCCGTGCCTCTGCTAGTGGCTTGTAGTCATCCATCCACTCACTCATTCAGCAAGCCACCCATAAACTATAAACGTTCATTCAGTCAGCCATTCATCCATCTATCTGCCTGAAATACGACATGTTACAAACGCCATCCATCCATCCGGCCACCCAGCGCACCGCACCCCACCCCACCCCGCACACCCCACCCCGCACACCGCACGGCGCACCGCACACTTGGAAGATTCTTGGTGGTTATAGTCGTTTATAAGTCTTTGTATTTGTTATCTAGACCATTATACTTTATCCCATACATACCCCCACGTCTCCGATAATTGGTGCTTACCGGGCGCACCTGGTGTAACCAAGTGCACTTGTTAAAACCAAGCGCAAATCGATCTCGATCAATATTTGCCCGTGCGAAAATCAAGCGTGAAACCAATAGCGACACACGGAGGCAAGAGAGAAAGGAGAAGCAAGACTGGGTCTGCAGAAATAAACTTGAAATAAGTGTGTGTGTGTGTATCTTATGCATACATACATACATAATTACATATACATACATACATACATACATACATACATACATACATACATTACATACATACATACACACGTCCAAATGCCAAAAAACCGGCCAATAGGCTTTTGGTAAAAGATGCTCATTATTCTTGAATCAAAAAATTTCAATTTCTGTCCCTGATGCCCAATGTCCTTGTCACGACTGCAGCACTACAAGCATTCCGACAAATGTTAAATCTGCCTAACCACACATTCGCTCTATGCAGTTGCCGACGTCACCATTTACGCGTCCTACGTAAGCACGTGCGCAAACGCCGCAACAAGTATACAGGATATCGACCTCAGCACAAGCAGTTGCATAATCCACATAAGTTGTTTAAGCTTCCCTATATACAATGTTAAGTTTTTAGTAACCATATATGAGTCTGTATAATAAGCGATATGAGCTCCAGGGATCTGCCAAGCAGCGCACACCGCACCATCGACCGTACGGTACAACATGCACCGAGAGGGCTCACATTCGCGATAAGTATTGGAATTTACAACGTATCTTGCCGGAGAACGCAAATCGAAGTCATGCAGTTGCAGACTCAATTTCCCCGCCAAGCACTACATGGTGCAACTCACTGTAGGCCGAAAATCATCACGGAACCGCATGGCTCCAAATTCGAGAACATGCGGCGCCTCTGCTTTAATTTACAAAGGATTTTGCCCCATGAAAGCGCCTCTTGTATTATGCAATGGATCGCACCCCGAAAAGGAAAACGAGAACGGCACCTTTGAAAACGAAGAGCCGCGTGTATTGGAATTTACAAGACATGCTGATCACGTGAAGCACCGACCCCCCCCATTCTCGGGACCCACAAGTTGCATTTCCACACAACCATCGCGCCGGCCCAAAACGAAGCGCAGCGACGCGAGCCTGTGCCGCAACGAGATACGAGATGAGGCAATTGAGATATTGGGAGCGCGTTTCTCGCAGCATCGGAGAAAGACATCTTCAGCACCTCCGACGGGCGAGCCTGTCATTTAAGCATTTAATAGCGATTCCACTTTGGGCATCGAGAGATGTCCGCTGGGCAGCTCAATGCTGCAGGGTCTGGCAGCAGACTTGAAGAGGGCTAGGGCGGAGGAGTCCTCCCAGCAGGCCGCGGCGCCCACGGCGCCCACGCGGCCTCGCATCGCATGTCATGGCGGTGGCGCTGGGCTCTGCTGCGCTCTGCTGGGCACTGGGCTCCCGGGCCGATCCGCCGGAACCGGAGCTGCAGCAAGCCCGCCAGCCTCAGGCGAGAGAGCGAGTGAGAGAGACGCTCGGACCGGTGGTTTTGTCGGGCTGCCGGGCTCCTGGCCTGGCCGTCCGCGTCGAGCCACTTGCACCTGGCAAGTGGAGCTCGGGACTTAGTGCCGCCTGTTTCTGCGCCCTATCGCGCCTGCAAAGGAAATCTGCAGCAGGATGCCCAAAGACCTCGACAGAGCTGAAAGCGTGGCGGCCTTCTTTCGGGGGTTTTGGCTGGGGGCCTGGTTTTGGGGGCCCCGGCCTGGGAATGGAGTCGGCGCTTCGTGGCAAAGCGAGCATCTCCGCTTTGCAGGGCTCCAGCTGCTCGTACAAACAGACCATCGGCCTCGGGGAGCGTGCGGCAATGTGTCTCGCGCAGCAGCTGCGGCTCTTCTTTCGAGCCGTAGAGCTGACTCTAAATTGCTCTCCCAGAGAGCGGAGCCCGGGGTCTCAGAGCGCGCGCTGGGCCCCGCTCCGCGTGCAAGGCCCCGCTTGCATCCTCGAGGGATCGAAGAGCCGAAACCTCGCAGCGGAGCGGCCGAGAGCCGCCGAGCCCCTCCCCCGCCTTCATCCCAAGCGGAGCGAGACGAGACGGAGAGAGCAGAGAGGGAGAGAAGAGGGAGAGGAGAGCACGGAGTGCGGCGGCCCTGGGCTCCCGAACCGGCCGGCACGGAAGGGGAGCTCGCGCACCGCCACGCAGGGCAGCGAGGCATCGCCCTTTTTCAGGGCGAACCTCGGCGCCGACACCGGCTTTCTGCTCTGGGACGCTGCTTCTGCTGCGCACGTAAAAAAGCCCGGGACGGCTTGGTGACCACAGGACAGTGGAACCACTGTCGGGAAGGCCTTTCACCTGCAACACACCCCCGTGCGATAGTCCGCGACGGCGAGTCAGCAGGACGGCCGGGCCTGCCGCGTCCGCTTCCTCCGCGTCCTCTGCGTCTGCCGCTGCCTGAACCTTCAGAGATCGTCATGTTCGCAGGCTTTTACGATTCTTATCTCGCTGCACGCTGCACCTCGAAGGGTGGGTTCAGGCTTTCAGCCGCGCTCGAAACAAGGCCTCGGAGGAAAAAAACAAGAAGCCGCCACCGTGGGCCACAGGGAGCCTGCTTTGCTCCTGGCTTGCCTGCCGCGGGTTGGCTGCTTCTGGAAGAAGCCCGTCCCAGGTCAGCAGCACCTCCAATCGGGCGTCTTCCCGCTTTCGCTGACGGCGACGTCGGCTCAGCGCGCGGCGAGGGGGCTGTCGTCTTGTAGCCACCGCTGCATCGTCTCCTGGCCACATCTGCCTCTCTCAAAGCCTCTTCAACAAAAGTCGCACCTGGCTTTCTTCCGAACAAGGAACCTCGCAGGCGAATCCATGCAATGCGTATGCATGGAGCCTGACACATCGCTCTACAAGCTGCAGCAGTGCAGAAACCCCGCACCTGCACAGGGAGGGGCAGTGCCACAGCCGCCTTGCAGGAGCCAAAGACGCGTCGCAGTGTCGCAGTCGCATATCGCCGGGATCCTGCGGAAGAACCTCCTGCACCCTCGAGCTGCGCAGGCGCACGCCGTGTCGAAAACGGGAGAGATTTCTTGACCGGCTCAGCTCCACAGCAGTCTTTCATTTCGTTAAAATCGTGCTTTTCATTGCATTACACTTTGCCTAATGCAAGACGAACGAAGTGAACGAAACTAGGAAATTCATGACCATACTTATATCCTAGATCCAGAGGTGAAAGTGATGAATTTTGTTCTTCTTTTTTCACGCTTCATTCCATTCCATTCCATTGCATTGTAATTCAGTTAATAAAGACCCACCGCGGATTCGCTTCGCTCTTTTGTGTTCACTTTCGCTCACACTTCTTTACACTCCTTCAGTTCATTCCTCGTGAACCTTGGAATCCTCACCTACTGAACCGTTGTCTCCTGGTGGTCAATGGACGCTGCCTCATTTAAATATAATTAACGCCATGCAACGAAGTGTAGGCGGTTAATTACCCAGTAAATGACAGCGCACCGGCTTTCTATCTTCTAATAATCTACTGTTGGGCGTGATGGGTGAATGAAAGGAACAACAGCGAAGCGTGCTTCCACTACCTTCTCTTCTATTTCTCTTTATTCAATCATCACTTCATTCACTGGTGTCCTGGCTCCTGTGGCGGCTTTGTGTTTATTAGAAGAGGTGAAACACCTGAATGAAAGGAATGAACCACCCCTGAAAAATTAACACAAAGGAGCCACAGCGCAGATTCGTGAACTTTTCTTCTTCCGTTTAATTCACGCACTTCGTTTCTCTCATTTGTAACTAAACGAAAGGAAGAAGGGAACGGAGGAAATTAAGGTAAAGAGCAAAGCGAACGTGCTGTGTTTAACTGAAATCAAAGAAATACGAGCGCTCATTATTTTGTTCACTTTTCTTGTCCTATTTCCTTCATTTCATCTGCACCCACCCACCACGCGCTCCCTTTGTTTTGCTTCCTGTCCTTGGCTTTGTGAGGACTGGTGGAAATAAACTGTAATGAGTTAAACGAGGTGAAAGGAAGCATGGTTTATTTCCACCACACCGCAAAAAGCCTTTTTCCGTGGTTTTTTCTTTTGTTTCTTTATTCCAATTGATTCACGCATTAGGCTTCTGTTGAGACAAAGGACAAGAGAAATAAGCCACCCTCTGTCTCTAGGACTGTAAAGAATAATCTGTTGAGTCGTGAAGGTAACANNGCCAGGATGGGAGAATGAAGTGAACGAATGCGAGCAAAGATGATGGAATGGAATGAAAGCATGCTTTGTTCATCATTCGTCTCGCTTCATTCGTTGCGTGGCTTGTTTCGATTAAAACGAAAACACAAATGAATAATGCGTGGTTTTTCTGTTAAACATAAACCACTCCTTGCTTTGAATTTTNNGTTGTTTCCTTTAAAATCTAGTTCACGAATCCTTCACTTGCATTGTAAGTATAAGTTAAAGAGAAGCACAGGTTGACAAGGCAAAGTTTTGACAAGAACCGCTGCAACTGGGAGCTGGTGCCTTCACTGGTCAACGGTTCACCCACGACTCCATGGTAAGGTAAATTTACAAATCTGGGTCATTCTTTCATCACGTTCCTTTCTTCAGAATATACAGCATCAGCTCATCAGCTCCCGAAACTTTCATGGTTGTTG